GTACATTATGAATCAGCTAAGCCACGTGAATGGAAGCAATCAGTGTAAGCATACATTACTACCTGTACATTTACGCTAATATTTAGAAGTTATTGAATGGGAAATTGAAGGATGACACACACTTATGACATGTAGTACATTACATTATATTACAGTCATTTAGCAGACGCTTTTATCCAAAGCGACTTACAATAAGTGTATTCAACATCGGTTTTCGAGAGAACAATAATCACCAGAAGTCATAAGTGCATCTCCTTTCTTCAAACAAGCATCTAAGAGCATAAACCAGAGCCAACGTACAGTGCAGAAACAAACAAATGCAATAAGTGCCACAAACTAATATGAATACAATAAGTGCAATAAGCTAGTATGAATACAATAGATGCTAGGTGAGTGCTAAGTGGAAGGCTAAGGGTAGGCCTTCTTGAAGAGGTGAGTTTTCAGCCTGCGCCGAAAGATGGGCAGCGGCTCCGCTGTCCTGACATCAGTGGGAAGTTCATTCCACCACTGTGGGGCCAGTAGGCCGTAGGGACCTCTGAGCGACGGGGCAACCAATCGCCCCGAGGTAGCAGAGCGAAGTGGTCGGGCGGGGGTTTAGGGCTTGACCATGGCCTGGAGATAGGAAGGAGCTGTTCCTTTCACTGCCCTGTAGGCTAGCACCACAGTCTTAAACTGGATGCGAGCTCTTACAGGGAGCCAGTGTAGAGAAAAGAGAAGGGAAGTTGTGTGGGAGAACTTGGGGTGATTGAACACCAGGCGAGCTGCAGCTTTCTGGACAAGCTCCAAATGTCTGATGGCCGACGCCGGGGCTCCGGCAAGTAGTGAGTTGCAGTAGTCCAGGCGGGAGATGACAAGAGCCTGGATTAGCACCTGCGCCGTCTCATCAGTGAGGAAGGGGTGAATCCTCCTGATGTTGTAGAGCAGGAATCTGCAGGAGCGTGTAACCAATGCAGAGGAGAGAGAGTTAGCTCTCGCTGCGTGAAGCGACTCCGTCACCGCAAGGAGGTCTCTCTCTCACTGTCTCAGTCAAGTGACCCACTTTGAACCCTGACTGGTTGGGGTCCAAGAGGTTGTTTTGGTGGAGATAGGAAGACAGTTGAGTAAAGACAGCACGTTCAAGTGTTTGGGAAAGAAAGGGTAGAAGAGAAACCGGTCTGAAGTTCTTGACATCAGAGGGGTCAAGTGATGGTTTTTTCAGAAGGGTGGTGACTCTGGCAGTCTTGAAAGCCGTGGGAAAGCATCCTGAAACAAGGGATTTGTTGATGAGGTGGGTGAGGAAAGGAAGGAGTTCAGTCTCAATAGACTGAAGAAGAGGGGAGGGGATCGGGTCAAGGGAGCACGTGGTGGGGCGATTAGATGTAACAAGGTCGAGGACCTCGTTAGGGGAGAGGAGAGCAAGACAGGGTAAGATGGGGCATGGAGAGGGGAGGGAGAGCTGTGGGGGAAGAACTGGAGAGGGTAGAGCTGGAGATGGTGGACAGGGACACTGAGAGAGTGAGGGAGAGGATGGACAGGGACCGGGGGCTGAGAGAAGGAAGACCTGATATCGTTGTCAAAGAAGTTGGCGAAATCGTTAGGGAGAAGGGATGAAGTAGGAGGAGGGGGTGGGGGTTGGAGGAGTGAAGAGAAAGTTTCAAAGAGTTTTTTAGGATTGGAAGCAGAGGTTAGGATTTTGGAGCGGAAGAACGCAGCTTTAGCAATGGAAAGAGTGGTGGAAAAAGTGGAAAGAAGAGCTTGGAAGTTAAGAAGGTCCCCCGGGAGTTTGCCTTTTCTCCATTTTCACTCCGCCTCTCTTACGTCTGTCAGTACGCACTGAGTCCGACAGCCAGGCATCTCCGTGGGGCAGGTGGGGTTGGCCGTGCAGGCCTGGAGGTGAAGGGACAGAGGTTTTCCAAAGAAGAGGAAAGGGTGGAGAGGAGAAGGTCAGTAGCAGTATCAGGGGATAGGAGAGAGAATGATTCTGGGTCAGGGAGAGCAGAGGTAACAGAAGAGGAAAGATCAGCCGGGGAAAGGGACCGAAGATGACTACGGGTAGAAACCATGTGGGTAGGTGGAGGAAGTACGGGGGGAGAGGACAGAGAGAGGGAGTAAGACATGAAATAGTGGTCAGAAAGCTGGAGGGGAGTGACGGAGAGGTTAGTAGTAGAACAGTGTCTAGTGAAGATAAGATCTAGCTGGTTAACGGCCTTGTGGGTAGGAGGAGAAGAGGAGTGGTAAAGGTCAAAGGAGGAGAGGAAGGAAAGAAGAGGTTCTAATTTATCAGTCTGGATGTTAAAGTCGCCGAGCAGGATGAGTGCTGAGCCATCGTCATGGAAGTGCGAGACTAATGTGTCAAGCTCCTCAAGGAACTCACCAAGGGGGCCTGGTGGGCGATACACAACAGCAATGGTGAGCTTGACTGGATAAGTGACAGTAACCGCATGAAATTCAAAAGAGAACGGGGAGAACTGAGGAACTGAGACAAGAGTGTATTTCCATTTTGGGGAGAGTAGCAGGCCAGTACCACCACCCCGCCTCGCAGCTCTGGGAGTGTGAGAGAAAGAGTACACTTCTGACAGAGCTGCAGGTGTGGTGGTATTTTCTGGCGTGATCCAGGTCTCAGTTAGAGCAAGAAAGCTGAGGGAGAGCAAGGAAGCGTAGCCCGAGATGAACTCAGCTTTCGGTACTGCCGACTGGCAATTCCAGAGCCCCCCCCCGCCACCACTTGCTCAACATGAGCTGAGACAGTACATTTTGTACTTTCACGCTGAAGGAGCACATAACCAAAATATGATCACTGTGTATTGTCACCTCTCACCAACATATATAACAGATGCTTGTGTGGATGTACGTTAAGCAATATAAATGTTAATGGACTAAAAAACATCAACTACAAAAAGCATAGGGTGGAAAGAGGATCTCCTTGCATGAGATCATTCCCCATCTTGTTCAGATTCTCTGTGCAAGCGTCGAGATCCCGTCGTCCACTTGTATTTCTTGCTCAATGTCGGTGTACACGTCTGTGTGTGACAGATTGGAAGTGTTGACATACAGACCAGCCACAAGACAGGTAAATGCATACATATATATATTTGTTTTCCTCCTGATCAAACTCACACTTCTTACTTTTGCTTTGTGCATGCGTGTGGGACGTGTACATAGTGTATGTGTGTGTGTGTAAAGGGCAGAGTTTAGGGAACGGTTCAGGAGGAATTGGATCCCCAAACCCAGTATGGGGCAGGGAACATGCACTGCAAAGATTACTTACACTCGCTAGTGATTTTATTTAAAGCAGATGTAGGGTTGTTGAAAATAGGCAATGCAAAGTTTAATTCCTGTAATACCATTTCTGATGACGTATGGATGTGAATATAAATGCATCTGATAAAGACATCAGTTGATTTTTACTTGTTTCATATAAATAATCTAATACGTCATAGTATGATTAAGCACATTCCATTACTTGGAATCACATTAACTATTAATATTGAACAAATTAAAAACAACTATTAATAAGCAAGTTTCGAAAGATTATGTCACCCAGACCCAGAAGAGCAGATCTGACTGGAAGATCGAGTCCTGCTGTTACTGAGCTCCTTGTTATTTGCTGAGCGTGTCGGGATCTTGTTTCACCAGGACCAATGTTTATTTTTGTTTCCCTCTGAATCTCTTCTCAGAAAAAATATTCTTGTAATGCATATTGAATTCATATCAGCAGGGCGTGTTTCATTCTTCAGTAAACAATTTGCTACATTAAGCCACATGCTTTCTGTGGCAAATCAAATGCCGGTGGACACGCACGTGTGTGTGTGTGGAGGAAGGAGGATCCATGTTGCAGGAAGGCTCACACACTTCTGACGTCCTGAATGAAGCAGGTCAGTTCAGCAGCTTCATGTCCATTTTGTCACATAAACACAATAAGTAAATGATTGTATATTGAGATTCACCAACGAGCTCTTTTGAAAGTCCTGACAAAGTAATCCTTGAAAAGCATGAAACAGCTTTTTGAGATTTCTTAGAGTGGCCATATTAACACTGACGTATGTTCAGTTTAATAAAGCTGCCAACAAGGTGAAAATGCTTTTAGAGTGTGTGATATGTTTTGTTTTGATGGAAAGCAACTGTCCTACAGAATCATTGATATGCTGCTGTATTCGTTTCCAACTCATACCAGTAACATTTGTTTTGCAGTGCATGCTTAGAGTGATTATTCCTGATTCATCCAGAGAGAGAGAGAGAGAGAGAGAGAGAGAGAGAGAGAGAGAGAGAGAGA